GTTCCCTGATCAGGAATCAAACCTACGTCCCCTGAAGTGCAAGGCAGATTCTTCACCACTAGAGCACCAGGGAAGTCCCTCTGTTATTTAGTGCAGTGGTCTTATTGTTGTTTGGTCACTCAATCGTGTCCAAATCTTTGGCGACCCCATGTACTGTAACCCATCAGGCTCCTCTGCCCACGAAATTGTCCAGGCAAGAATAGTGGAGTGGGTCGCTATTTCCCTCTCCAGGGGATCTTCCTGACCCAGGGATCGAACCCATGTCTCCTGCACTGCAGGTGGATTCCTATTACTTAGATGCTGGGTCTTAGCTGGGTGCAGTTTCATTCTCCAGGTCACATTTAGCAACATGTGGAGACGTTTTTGGTTGTCACCCTGGGAAGGAGATGTGACTATAATATCCAGAGGATGCCAATTGACTGGTCTGGGATCAACTGGTTTGAGCTCCTTGCTGTCCAAGGGACTCCTAAGAGTCTTCTGCAGCACCACAGTTCAAAAGCATCAGTTCTTTGGTGCTCAACTTTCTTTATGGTCCAAGGGGTGCTGTTCAACATCCTGAAGCATGCAGGACACCCCCCAACAAAGACGAATCCCACCCAAGTGCCAGCTGCGCTGGAGTTGAGAGATGTGCTTCGGTGCTCTCGCCCTTGTGGGCTCCTGTGATTGCCCTCTTGTCCTATTCCTCTTCCCCTTAGCTGGTATCTTGGATTTTTCCATCTGCCTGTCATCCTGAATAGGCGGGTTCTATCCATTTTCCTTTTCACTCGTCCCCATTGAAACCATCATATTTGGTTTTGTCTTTACTTCCACTGAATCCTTACCCGCCTCCTGCTGAGTCCTCACCCCCTCCTCACTGAGTCCTCACCTCTCCATCCTCGCACTGAGTCCTCACCCCCTCCTCTTGGATGGCAGATGGGTGCTCGGGATGGCTGTGAGCTCAGAAGGCAGTTTTGTGCAAACTGGTGGCGGGGCGGAGTGGGCTTCCCTGGCGGCTCAGTGGTGAGGAATCCGCCTGCAGTGAAGAAGTTGCAGGAGATTTAGGTTTGATTCCTGGGTTGGGAAGATGCCCTGGAGGAGGGCATGGCAGCCCACTCCAGTATTCTTACCTGGAGAATCCCATGGACAGAGGAAGCCTGGCAGGCTACAGTGCACGGGGTCACAAAGTCCGACACGACTGTAATGACTCAGCACCCACGCAGGGGAGAAATACCCCCTTTGGTTGCATCCCGGCTGCAAGCACTTGGTTTCAGAAGTGGACAGTGAGCCAGGCTTCAGTCCGTCAGCCAGGGTCACTTCTGCAGGCCCCAGGGAGCGTAGCCATCAGCCATCCAAGGACCGGGTGCAAGTGGAGAACTGTAAACCCCTCTATCACTTTATGCTACCGGACCCAGTCCAGCTTTACAGGACTCATCCAGACTTCAGAGATGTAAAAGTGTTTTTAAATGGTTAAGAATCCACACTTCCACTGCAGGGAGCATGGGTTCAGTCCCCGGTCAAGCAAGTAAGATCCCACATGCCTTGCAGTGCGGTTAAAAAAAACAACGACAACAAAACCCTAGGAATTGTCAGAACAGCCTCACACTCCTTGAGTCGCAAGTTCCAATATTCGAATCTATCTTCTTCCTTTGCTATCCATAGGTTCTGAATTTTAAAACCCAGAAATGTCTCTTGAGAAAACGGGGTTGTCTTCATGGCTTGTATGTCTTATTATCAGCATCTGGACACACGTTTATTTAGATTGTCCCACCTGTGTGCACAATGGGCCTTTACCTGGCTTCACCTGCACAAAGGTGAGAAGAGCCAGGTCGGCAGGACACTGCCCCCATCAAACATGGAGGTGGTCCCTTCACCTGGAGCTGCTTTATTGATTTAACAGCTTGGAAAATGGGCTTCTCAATTTTCCACAGTATCCTCCTTAAAAAAAATCAATTGCATGGTGGAATGACCCCTCTGTTATCAAATACTTTTTTTTTTTGAAGTATAATTGATTTACAATGCTTTGTTCATTTCTGCTGTATACAAAGTGCTTCAGCTATACATATAAATATATATATATATATACATTCTTTTTTATATTCTTTTCTTGTGGTGGTTTTCATATTTGATATTATGGTTTATCATAGGATATTGAATATAGTTATCTGGGCTATAGAATAAGAGCTTGTTATTTATCCATTCTATATATAAAAGCTTACATCTACTAACCCTAACCTCCCCCTCCATCTATTGTCAAATATGTATGGACCAAAATAATATTGCCTTTCACTGCAGAGGGAATGGGACAATTGTTTGGTAGTCACATCCATCACATCAGGAGCCTCGGGCTCTTGGTGTGGACCATAACCCCGTTTTCCAAATTAATGTGAGCAAGTCAGTAGGCTTCCTTCAGAAGGTAGTTATTGAGTGCTTACTTCACACTGAGCATTGGGTAACTATTAATATCCATACACTCACCCTCACACACCAGCTCTTCTGGATTTCCTCCCAAGCCTAAGAATGCTCACCCAAACACTCAGCCTCTCCCAAGGGGAGGTTCCCTGCTCCACCTCTGAGCATCGCGCCATCCAGTGGCAGTTCATGGTAGGTTCACAGACGGCTCACACTGGCCCCTGCAAAATGATGATATACATGAAAAGCAAAGTGTTAGTTGCTCCCTTGTGTGGGACTCTTTGCAGTCCCATGGACTGTAGCCCTCCAGGCTCCTCTGTCCGTGGAATTCTCCAGGCAAGAATCCTGGAGTGGGTTGCCATTGCCTTCTCCAGGGGATCTTTCCAACCCAGGGATCGAACCTATGTTCCTGCATTGCAGGCGGATTCCTTAATTCCTGAGCCACCAGGGGAGCTATAGTAAGAGCCAGATTTGCTCCTAATGTCCTTTGCTGGCGTCAAGCTGTAGGATCAGCGAGTGGGAACCGTAGCCCCAGCAAACCCCTGCCCTTCAGCCGAGATCTCTCTCCTGCCAGTAGTATGGGTCCAGGCTCTCCCCACCCCACCACACACATCCGCGGTCCCCCAGCCACTGATCAAGAGACTCAGAACAGCCAGAAGGGAAACTGAGGGCAGTGGGCCTTGAGTCACCAGCCGGCAGCTGGAGTAAGTTATTTGGGCTATCTGATGCAGAGATGGGACCTTTACTGAGTTACTCCATACGAATGGAGGAGAATTCTCTCTCGGTCCTGCAGACCTTCAAGGATTCTGTGGGACAGTGTTGGTATGGTGTTTCCTGCCTCCCTTTCCACTGCAAAGAGGAGGTTTTGCCCTCCGATCTCTAACACTCCATGTACACGAAGTAGTTCAGTAGTGGGAACTGAAATCTCTCAGAAACACCCTCATTAATCCGTATAATCTGACTCCTGCAGTAGGGCTAGGAGGCTAGGAACCAGGAGAAAACACAGGAGGAAAAATCAGCCAATCTCAATGCCTCTGTTTCTATTTCTGTGGCCCACGTCCCACTGCGCCTGTAACAACTGTGGGTCTGCGTGTTTGAGCTGCGTCCTGGGGACAAGGAACCATCCTACCTGCTACACTGGGGTGGGGGCTTGGGGGGAGCCCAGCCTGTCCCTGACGAGGGCCGTTGACCAGACTTTGGAAGCCTCGGCTCCTGACGGCAGATGCCATGTCCGTGTCCACCCAGGGTCAGAGTGCACCCTGACCTCCGCCCAGCATGCACCCGTAATGACCGTGGTTTTACAGTTGCCGTTACAAACGGGGGGCGGGGTTTGCTGTTTGGTTTTGTTTTTTTAATGCTACCACGGGGGCTCCCTCCTTTGCTTTGGTGCAAGCTGGGGGAGTCAGATAGGAATCAAGAGCGCAGCCATGCTGGGACTTCCCTGGTGTCCAGTGGTTAAGACTTCGCCTTCCAGTGCAGGGGACGAGGGTTCGATCCCTGGTCAGGGAGCTAAGATCACCGCCCCCCCCTCATGCTGTGCAGAGGGGCCAAGAGATTAAAAAGAAAAGAAGGCGCAAACGCGTTCCTCTGGAACTTACTGAACTTGCACGTGGAGTGTGTCAGTGAAAGCGGGCCCCCCGAGCGGGGGAAGAAACATGTGCACAAGGAGCTCATAGCAGAGAGAGGAGAGCAGGGCGGACGCAGAGCCTCTAGCCCGCTGCCTGGCTCTGTGCTCGGCCTGCGCCTTCTGCCTGTCCGTCTCTCTGCCTCCTCCACTGAAGATGGGGGCTGATGACAACAGAACACACCCCGGGGACTGATGTGAGGATTAGACATTTGTGCACATCAAGCATCACTTCATGGCAAATAAATGGGGAAACAGTGGCTGACTTTATTTTGGAGGGCTCCAAAATCACTGCAGATGGTGACTGCAGCCATGAAATTAAAAGATGCTTACTCCTTGGAAGGAAAGTTATGACCAACCTAGACAGCATATTAAAAAGNAGGGAGCCCAGCGCAGTGCGCTGTGAGGACCTCGAGGGCTGGGATGGGGTGTGGGGGGGATATATGTATGTACAGAGCTGATTCAGTTTGCTGCTCAGCAGAAACCAACACAACGTTGCAAAGCAGCTATAAGGAAGTGAGAGTTAGTCACTCAGTGTTTCCCAACTCTGCGACCCCATGGACTGCAGCCCACCAGGCTCCTGTGTCCATGAGATTTTTCCAGGCAAGCATAATGGAGTGGGTTGCCATTTATATCCCAATTTTAAAGGTGATTAACTACAAAACTATTGGAAAATAACGTAATGATTATCTCTTGACTATATGGCAGCATAGAAAAGCAATTATAATGTTTAGTTTTGTAAAGTATACCAGTTTTACGCCATTGTGGACTAGTGACAGATAGACATCTGAGCATGAATCAAGGTGGAGGAGAGGAAGAAAGAGAAACATTTGAATGTTTTTCAGTTGATGAAGTTAGAGGAATGATTTTGCTTTGTTTTGGCGTTCCGTGAGTTGGGCTAATGTTCGCTCTATAATGACGGTTCAAGAAAAGTCTTGTAAAACCTTTCTGTTTGAGACTGTTGCTTGCACCATCAAGTTCATGGTTTGAATCTTGCTAATCTGATTCTGGTGTGTCCCAGGTATTAACCATGGCCCTGTCATAGCTGGTGTGATTGGAGCTCAGAAGCCACAGTATGACATCTGGGGCAACACCGTCAACGTGGCCAGCAGGATGGACAGCACCGGAGTCCTGGACAAAATCCAGGTAATTCAGTGGGCTCTGTGGTCATCCGCCACATCTGTCCTCTGGGGAACCATGAATAAGCGTATAAAAAGGATAATGTTAAAGCAAAGGAAAGAGAGTAAACATTGTCATTTGTTTAAACTTTTTACTGGGGACATATTCATTGGTTTCTGCATTTACTGTGAACAGTAAACAGTTATGTCAAAGTGTGAAGGATATGGCATTTCTGAAAGTAGATGGTCAGAGCGACCCCCAGGGCAGTGTGCCCCCCGAGGGGAGGGGCAGCGGGGTGCCCTCCCTGCTGGACGCAGGCCAGGCGTGACGCCCTGCCTTCCTCTCCCCGGGGGGCTGGACTGGGAGAACAAGGGGAGGGGAGGGAGAGATGCGCTGGAGTGGCGGGAAACAACAGCGCTAGACCTGGGATTTGGGCATCTGGACATGACTGGGACGTTTTGGAATCCACCCAAGGGAGTGAAAACCAAGACCTGACAAATTAAAAGCAGTGGTGACTGCACGCACCTGCGTGGGCCGCGGTGCCGGCGTCTAGAAAGAGACACTCTGAATGAAAAGGGCGTGTGTGTGTGTGTCTGTGTATGTGTGTGTCTGTGTGAATGTGTCTATGTGTGTTTGTGACTGTGTCTGTGTCTCTGTGTGTGTGTGTCTGTGTGAATGTGTCTGTGTGTCTATCTGTCTCTATGTGTGGGTGTCTGTGTGTGCATGCCTGTGTGTCTATTCGGATCTTTATTTTCATTGCCCTCAGAAAGCAATGTTCCATGTTTCACCCCAGCTTTGTTACAGCAGGAGTTTATCTGGAAGATACTTTGCTGCCTAATGGCAAATCTGTATGAAAATCACTGGACACAAATAATAGACTCTCGGTTTTGTGTCCTCTTCAGAGAACTCCATGAGTCCCTGTTCTGCATCTCAGCTTGGCCCACATTCTCAAATAACCCTGCCCCCGAAAGTACAGCAGACAGTTTCTTGCTTTGCTTCAGTCGTGTCTGAGTCTGTGTGGCCCTATGGATTGTATCCACCAGGCTCCTCTGTCCAGGGGATTCTCCAGACAGAATACCGGAACAGGTTGCCATGCCTTCCTCCAAGGGATCTTCCTGACCCAGCGATGGAACCGCGTCTCTTAGGTCTCCTGCACTGGCAGGCGGGTTCCTTACCACTGGTGCCTCCTGGAAGCCCCTCTAAGAGGGTACTGGGCTTCTTAAAACTCCATGTGATTTAGCGCAGCGCAGCCGCCCAGCCTGCCTCCGCGTGCTCTGAGCCCAGGGAGGAAACAGGACAGGTTCCTGTTCATCCAGAGCAAGGGGTCGGTCCACTGCCGCGTCTGTGTGTCCGCTCAGCTCAGCGACTGGAGGGTCCACCTCTGGGTAGGTTTTCTTCTCCTGAGGGTGTCACTCCCTACAGCTGCACTAGCTTCTCATTTCCATTTACGTGAAAAAGAAAGCAGTGAGATGTCAAGAAAAATAAACAATGATGCTGAGAATATGAAAAGATTCCCTTGGGCCTGTGGAACAGATGCTTTTTATTTCAGAGAATATGCTTTCTATGCCTGAAATACAGTGTAGAAAGCCCCTCATCACCCAGCCAGGCTGCCCCTGGACTTGGAGGAATAATGCATGCGTGCGTGCTCAGTCATGTGCATCTCCTTGCACCCCTGTGGACTGTAGCCCGCCAGGCTCCTCTGTCCACGGGATTCTCCAGGCAGGAATACTGGAGTGGGTTGCCATTTCCTCCTCTAAGGGATCTTCCCCACCTAGAGATCGAATCTGGGCCTCCCACATCTCCTGCATTGGCAGGCAGACACTTTATGACTGAGCCACCTGATGGCCGAGGTGATGGCTCCCTCCTCCCGACCGTGATGATTATGTGGTTGCTGCTACAGATTCCAGTGACCAGCTCAAAAGTTGGCCAAAGGCATGCCCTGCACCAGCCTCAACTGCGAAATTAACCTACCAGACTTCAGACAACATGTAGGTTCTCTGTGTGGAAGACCAGACGTCAAGTGTGTGTGTGTGTATGTGTGTGTGTGTGAAGGTGAGGAGAAGTCATAGGTGCACACTCAGTCATGTCCGACTCTTTGCGACCCCATGAACTGTAGCCTGCCAGGTTCCTCTGTCCATGGGATTCTCCAGGCAAGAATACTGGAGTGGGTGAGCATTCCCTTCTCCAGAGGATCTTCCCGACCCCGGGATCAAACCCACGTCTCCTGCATAGATAGGCGTGTTCTTTACCACCAGCCCACCTGGGAAGCCCCAGATGTCTGTAGCAGTCTCCAATTTTGATTGCTGTAAGAACTCTAATTAGAAGAGCATATTTGTTATCTGAGTTTCTTGCCTAATTCCATATTTTTTCAGTTCTTACCTGATATTCCTGAGCTCTGTCTATCCTCCCCTGGGACTTGGGCCCAGCCAGGGGAGGGCAGGACGTGAGTATCCAGACTCTGCGTCCCCCTTTTCTCCTGATCTTCTCCAAAAGACCCACCTTTTGGCCACTTTGTGAGGGACCAGCCGCTGGATCACGTGGCAGAAGACAGATTTCTCTAGCTCTTTCCCCAGCCAACCCATGAGATCTTCACATCATGCCCTTCAGCCTTTCTTCTGGTGACCCCCAAATACTGTCCTGGATTCCAGAAGCCCCATCCTCCTCTGGGTTTTTGCTTTGTTTTCTAGTTTATTTGGCTGTGCCACATCTTAGCTGCGCACTCGGGATCTTTGATCTTGTTGCAGCATACAGGATCTTTAGTCATGGCATGCAGGCTCTTAGTTGAGGCTCTAGTTCCCTGACCAGGGATCAAACCTGGGCCCCCGCCCAGGGAGCTCGGAGTCTTAGCCACCGGACCACCAGGGAAGTCCCCCTCCTCTGGTTCTGGTGACAGCATCTGTCACGACAGACGCGTCCCCCAGGCCTCCCTTCGCCTCTCTCGTTGCCGTAGCCACTGCACAGTCCCCCGACAGCATCCACACCAGAAACAGAACCGTGGTGGGGCCCGTCCAGCGCTCGTGTGTCCCACGTGCCCAAGGAGACAGACGGAGTTTTCCGCAGTGATGTGGATGCACCTAGAGTCTGTCGTACAGTGTGAAGTAAGAAAGAGAAAAACACGTATCATATACTAATGCATACATATGGAATCTGGAAAACTGGCACAGATGAACCTACTTGCAGGGCAGGAATAGAGATGCAGACAGAGAGCAGACTTGCGGACCCAGCGAGAGAAGGACAGGGGGACAAATTGGGAGAGCAGCGTTGGCATATACACACTGCTGTGTGCAAAATAGGCCACTGGTGGGAAGCTGGTGGATAGCCCGGGAGCTCTGTTATGACCCGAAGGGGAGCTCTGCATACGTGTGGCTCATTCACGTTGTACAGCAGAAACTCACACAACGTTGTAAAGCAAGATACTCCAATTTTTAAATTTTTTAACTAAATTTTTAAAAAAATAAAAACAAATACTGTCCTTAGACAGCTTCTCTTCTCATGGATTATTCTCTCTTCTACTGATTTCCCATGAGTGGAATGAATGAGTCAAAAAAGCCTGAGCATTTGGGGGTTCTTCATCCTTGTAGTGAAGTCGCTCAGTCATGTCCGACTCTGCTTGACCCCATGGACTGTAGCCCACCAGGCTCCTCCGTCCATGAGATTTCCCAGACAAGAATACTAGAGTGGGTTGCCATTTCCTTCTCCAGGGGATCTTCCTGACCCAGGGACTGAACCCAGATCTCCTGCACTGCAGACAGACGCTTTACTGTCTGAGCCACCAGTATTCTTATCTGGAAAATCCCATGGACAGAGGAGCCCAGTAGGCTACAGTCCATGGGGTCTTGGACGCGACTGAGCGACTTCACTTTCGCTTTCAGCCTTGTAGTCAGACACCTCCCTGAGAGGGTCGTGTCCACGTGGGCACTAAGCGCTTCCTCACTTGTCACTGTGCTTCTCCAGGTGACAGAGGAGACGAGCGTCATCCTACAGACCCTGGGCTACACGTGCACGTGTCGGGGGATCATCAACGTGAAAGGAAAGGGGGACCTGAAGACCTACTTCGTCAACACAGAGATGTCACGGTCCCTTTCTCAGAGCAACCTGACCTCCTGAAGCCTCGCCTTTGGTTCTGGTGAGAGGACTGTACCTTCGGGACGATGACGATGCACTTTCTGACTGCCACTCGCGTCCCTGTCTGTGGTGTGTGTGCGTGCTCTGTCCTGTCCTCTGGAGCCTCTGCGGACTCCTTCCTGTGACCTGGCGGCCTGCCGTTCGGTGTCTGACGTGTGCCAGGATCGCCCTGCCACTTCCACTGTGCTTACTCCTAGCAGAAGGGAAAGGAGCGCGCGTTACCGCAGAAGAGCCTTCAGCGAAGCTGATGGAGAGGGGAGGGGGAAACAGACAAAAATTCTTAAGGCAATAAAACTAGGGGAGGGGGGGTGTATATTATCTTCCGGTGCATGTTCTTTTCTGGAAAATATGGTAGCTCGCCAACCGCATCCGCTAGTCTGATACTAAAACACACAGTACTTGTGACTAAGTTGACTCTGTCACCCCACCTGGAATCCGCCGTGTTCGCCCACGTGTCTCATTGCAGTGACTGTCCACGGGCCCAGCCGGTTCCGGGGGCCCCCGTCACCCTGCTCCATCGTGTTTTGTGCCAGCGACACCTCCCCATCCATCACCAGAATTAGTTCTTACAACCTAGGACTAGTTTTGTACCAGACGCGTCTGATGTTTTGATGCCATTGTCTTTTGTAAGGTTAATTCATTAAAAGTTTTATGTACTTTGGTTGATAGTCTGTATCTTCCCCACCCCACTGCCGACCCCTTTCCAGAACTGAGTTGGTTTTCCACGTGTTCTCCCCTGGACAGAGCTGTTTCAGAAGGGACTGTCCAGAAGCAGAGGTGGAGCTATCCTCCTTTTCCCCCTTCAGTTTGTTTGGCTGCATCGGGTCTTAGTTGCCGCACATGGGATCGTCGTTGCCTCCTGATGGATCTTACGTCACAGAGCATGGTCTCTCCAGTTGTGGCCCACAAACTCAGTAGTTGCCGCTCAGGCTTAGTTTCCCAGAGACACATGGGATCCTAGTTCCCCGACCAGGGACCAAAACCACATGCCCTGCATTGCAGGGTGGGTTCCGAAGCACTGAGCCCCTGGGAAGTCCCTGAGATGGTTGAGCTCTCCTTGCGTAAATCAGATGGAGACAGAGTTTGCGGTGCTGGTCCCTGATGATGCAACTCCCTGGAAAGTGTATCACGTGATTTTCAATCTTGACCTCTCTCTAGAGCATTTTCAGATGTGGGTTCAATCTCTGGGTCAAGAAGATCCCCTGGAGAAGGAAATGGCAACCCACTCCAGTATTCTTACCTGGAAAGGCCCATGGACAGAGAAGCCTGGTGATCTACAGTCCATGGGGCCGCAAAAGAGTCGGGCAAGACTTAGCTACTGAACAACAACAACATAGAAGATTTACAGGGAAAAATATTTTACTATGTAAACGATTCTCTGCTAGCATCAGCACACACTCTGTCCACATACTCTGGTCTACTATAATACTTCAGTAGAGCTGTGAGACACAGAATAATTTGGAATTCTGTATATCAGCATCCCAGTAATTTGAACTAATGAGAGAAGCTGCCAAAACCCCATGGTTTGCCTGTTATGTCTAAAGAGATTTAAGACTGTACAAAGCCAACATCTATGCATTTTCGAAGAGAGGAACCCTGGAAAACCACGTTTTTGTAAATCCAACACTAAAATTTTGGTGTCTTCCTTTACATAAAGATATCATACTTTACCAAAGTGAAAGTGAAGTTGCTCAGTCATGTCCAACTCTTTGCGACCCCATGGACTATAGCCTACCAGGCTCCTCCATCCATGGGATTCTCCAGGCAAGAATACTGGAGTGGGTTGCCATTTCCTTCTCCGGGATCTTCCTGACCCAGGGATCGAACCCAGGTCTCCCACATTGTAGGCAGATGCTTTACCATCTGAGCCACCAGGGGAGTCTTTCTTTGCATAAAGATATCATACTTTACCAAAGAGAGTAGTAAATAAAGGGTTGGCCAACAAGTCCATTTGGGTTTTTCAGTAAAGCTGTTATGAGAAAATCCAAACAAACTTTTTGGCCAACCCAGGTCATGCATAATGGAATGTCTAAAAGCAGAGCTACAAACGCCTGCCTGGCTGGGCAGACTAGCTCAGGGCAGGCCTCTGTAAAAGGCAGAGGACCCCACTGATCCATGAGGAAGCGGCTGGGAACTTGGACTTGAAGCAGCAAAGCCCTCGGTTTGATCCCTGCCTCTGGCGATTTTCTAGCTGTGAGACGTTGAACACACATTTCAGTTTCTCTTAGGAGCCCTTTCCCATTGGCAGCTCGTGGGGTCAAGTCTGACTAACAGAGCTAATGACCATGAGAGAGGCTGGCGGGCACCCAGGCCTCGCTCCCGCCAGTGCGTCTCAGGATCCAGGCGGCCGCCCTGCCAGGACCTTGGCTCATCCTCGGTAAAAAGCGCTTATCAAAATTAATACCCGGCCTTCATCCCAGAGTGGGGATACAGCATGACTGGCCCATTTGTCTGCCTCAGTCAGAAATTTTTGATCCTATAATTGCAACTCAGCATTGGCCTTAATACACCTAATTCTCTAGAACGGTGAGTGAGAGGAGAAAAATGGTATCAGGGCATTTGTCTTCACTGTAACCAAAATCTGGGCAAGGATGCTCTAGGTTCAGTGACTTCAGACAGTGCCTGTGGGTTCTTCCATTACAGCTGACAGCAGCCATCCTAGGGCTCCTATGTCACCTGCCCTTAAAAGAAGACACCTGCAGAGAGTGATGCACCAAGAGCTCTTTCTTTTCCCCCTTAATTTGATTGGAGGCTAATTACTTTACAATATTGTGGTGGTTTTTGCCATATGTTGACATGAATCAGCCACAGGTGGATGGGGAGGGAGGTGGGAGGAGGGTTTGGGACGGGGGGTGGGGGACACATGTACACCCAAGAGCTCTCTTTTATAAAATATTTATTTATTGGCTGTGCTGGGTCTTAGTTACGGCATTTGAACTTTTATTTGTGGTATATAGGATCTAGTTCCCTGACCAGGGATCGAACCCAGGCCCTCTGCATTGGGAGCTTGGAGTCTTAGCCACTGGATCACCAGGGAAATCCCCGCCAAGCACTCTTAAATGTTGCCCCTCAACCCCTGCCCTGGCATGCGAAGGGAGAATTTTTTTTTCCCCCCAAAGCTGTATCTCCAGTCTTATCAAAGAGTAGACTTTTTAAAGCAATGAGTTATTATCAGAGTCCACCTCTCAAAGGTCTGTGCATACCTGGGTCTCTCAAACTGAGGTTCCCAGACAGCAGCATCAGCATGATCTGGAAATGTGTTAGAAATGCACACGTTTCAGGCCCCAACGCAGACCTGCCGAGTTGGAAATCCTGGTGGGTGGTGGGGAAGCATGCTCGCTGTGCTTCGGAGAGCAACTCCACGTGATTTTGATCCACAGGCAAGCCTGAGGCCCCCTGCATTTTGCAAGAGAGGAAATAGGGGGTGCAGAGAGGTCTGGGGGCTTGCCCCAAGGTTCCCAGATGACCGAGATTAGATAAAACGGAAAGCTGCTTGTTTCCTGAACCTGAAAGTGTGGCTCAGGGTCGAGACCCCTCAGTGTGGGCGACCCCAGACATTCCCACGAGCAGACCATGCAAGTGAGGGGACCTGCCTTCCACGTCCATCGGCCATCATGCCTGCGACGCTGACGACACTAAGACTCTCCTCAAAGACGTCCATCAGCCATCATGCCTGCGACACTGACGACACTAAGACTCTCCTCAAAGCTCTCCTGAACCTCCAGGTCTTGTAGGAATCTCCCTCTCATGAAAAAGGCTGTGAATCCAATCCCCTTAATACTGCAGAATTTTCAGTACCCCTGTTTAGAGAAGTCTACATAATCATCAGTCTTCCATGTCATTCCTTTTCCCGGTGCAGCGGTGCTTTCCTAAATACAGTAACACTCTTGCCTTTGAAAAACACTGACTCATGGTGAAAACTTGATAGATCGAAAAAAATTCTTTTAATATATGTTTCTCTTTGATAAAGCTGACTAACAGGCATTCATTGATTGTCTTTGAAGTGTAAAAATCAAGATGCTAAAAGAAATACATTTAATTTTCCCTTGCTACCTAACAAATGTGAGTTTTTGAACTCTTGCCCAGTTCAAGGCTTGCTTTTTAAAAGCAGTGGAAGGGTAAGGGAGTAGGGCCTGACTTAAGGTTACTGAAAATAACCTACTCTGGTATTAATTTACTGCATCTACTTTCAGATGAAGGCATTTCTTTGAGATGCCTTGTCTTTCTTGATAATCAAGACTGAAAAAAGTGTAATTTATAAAAATTTCCATAACCCAAACTTTGTATACTTTCTATAATGTTATTATAAATGTAGTTAATGCACCCAAAGGCATTCCAAAAAAACTCCTATTGTTTGGGGGGGAAAAAAAAAAAACCTATAGTGAAAGAACATTTTCAAAAGTATAAAGAAATATTTAAGAGCTGCTCAACCTTGAAATTGCCAGGAACACAAGAGTGTCATAAAGTCCTCAGTCAAAACAATACAACAAGCAGTGGAGGAATCAGCACTGAAATTAATCACCTGCCCATTAACTGCTAAGCTGTGGGAAATTTAATCACAATAGATGAAGGGTGATTTCTACCAAGAGATCCATTCATCAAAACAATAGCCAACATCTTAACACTTGAAATAAGTCTCAAATCATCTCCAGAGTAAACATTTCCAACTTTGGTTAAAAGCAGCAGCTGCTTCCTAAAAGAAAACTACAAATGTATCTTCACAGCCCCTATGGGGCCAGGGAAGACCACACTCTAGTGGCTCCTTGATTCCCACACAAACTCTTCAAGGCTTGAAACTCCCACTTTAAAGATGGGGCTTCCCTGGTGGTCCACCGGTTAAGAATTCACCTTACAATGCAGTGGACACGGGTTCAATCTCTGGTCCGGGAAGATTTCACATGTCCTGGGGCAACTAAGCCAGGGGCCCTAGAGCCCAGGCTCCAAAGCCCGAGAAGCCATCGCAGTGAGAAACCCCTGCACAGACCCGAGGAGCATTGCCCCTGCTCGCTGGCCACTCGCCCTGCAGGGGGCTTTTGTCCTTAGTTACGCAAAATTCTGTGATTTGTGCCTCAGACCTCTGGCGGGGGAGGAGGCGGTTGTAGAATCTAGAGTCTAATTGTGCCAAAAGGCAATTTTATCTCCCATTGTTATTTGTGCCATCAGACAGTATCAGTTCCCATAACCAGTAAGAAAAACACCTGCGCAGCATCGCCATGGGCGCCTCCGCCAGGGAGACGCGCAAACCTAGAGAGGAGCGAACAGAAAGCGAAACCAACCGCGGTCAAGGAGGGAACAAGTTTTCATTTTATTCAGATGCCCACAGTGGATCAGTCTCCAGCATCATTTCATCTTGAAATTGGTTCCGGTGAAAAAACGTCCTACCAGGTGTCCATCCTAAGAATCGCAGGCTTTTGGCCAGGCTGGTCGCCCAGGAAACGCACAGGCAAGCAGCCCTGCGTGGTCCTTGGTCCTTCCCCGTGGCCCAGCGCGCATCAGGGGCGCCCGCCGTCCCCGGGAGGCCCTCCGAGCGTCCCGCGGTCAGCGCTGCCCTCCCTCCCGCCCCCTCTGCGCCGCCACTCTCGCCCGTGCGCCCTTCGGGCCATGGAAGGGACTCAGGCGGGAGAGATGTGCCCGAAACCAGGCGCCTTGATACTGGTGATGTCGTTCTTCCGGTAGAAGTCGGCCTTCACGTGGCCCGCGCGGCCGTGGTCCCGGTTTAGAGGCTCCACAGGCTGGTGGATGCGCCAGCCGTAGACCGAAGACGACAGCACCCCCACCGGCCGCTCGCGCTCCTGTAGGAAGGGATAGAGCGTTCTCACCTGTCCGCGCCTGCGTGTCCCCACACCCGCCTCCGCCTCCACCGGGCTTCTCGTGCAGAAGAAGCCTACAAATGAACCATCGCAGCCCCTACGGGACCGGTTAAGACCACACTGACGCCGAAGGCGGGAGGAGAAGGCGACGACAGAGGATGAGGTGGTTGGATGGCATCACCAACTCAGTGGACATGAGTTTGGGTAAACTCCGGGAGCTGGTGATGGACAGGGAGGCCTGGCCTGCTGCAGTCCATGGGGTCGCAAAGAGTCGGACAGGACTGGGCACCTGAACTGAACTGATGCCACTGGCAGGGGTGGGACGGTGGTTCTCTTCAACCAGGTCAGATCCTGTCCCCTCTTCTCTGAGCCACCAGTGTCCTCAAGACGTTCAGAGGCCAGTCCAAGATCTTGCAGGGGGCGCCGGGTACCCACTGCCTTCGGGGTCGCGTTCCTCCTCCGTCCCTCCCTTCTCCCTGCTGCTCCTCCTGCCTGTCTTCTGTTCCCCTCCTTCCTTCTCCCAGACACACATCTCCCCAACTCCTCACCTCCCCAGCCCCCATCACATCCCCAGACCTCCTCATCCCTTTCATTGGCCCCATCCCCTTAAAAGGCTGTATCTCTTTCATCTCACTTATCACTCACCTGGAATTCAGTTCATCATTTACTGGGTTTTTATTCTTCTGTCTCCTCATGGGAATTTCAGCTCTGAGGGCAGACAATGCTCCTTCGTTCCCTTTATACTCAGTGGCATATGGGAGGTGCTCAAAATGTCTGACTGACTTTAAGTCATGCCAGGCATGTACACTTGTGAGAAAAGTGAAAGTGAAGTCGCTCAGTCATGTCCGAGTCTTTGCGACCCCATGGACTGTAGCCTACCAGGCTCCTCCGTCCATGGGATTTTCTAGACAAGAATACTGGAGTGGGTTGCCATTTCCTTCTCCAGGAGATCTTCCTGACCCAGGCATTGAACCTGGGTCACCCTCATTGCAGGCAGGCACTTTACCGTCTGAGCCAGCAGGGAAGTCTGTACTTGTGAGAGAAAAGCACAAGCTTCACTACTACCTGGGAATGAATTAACACAGACCAAAAACAGCAGGCTCGTTGGGAAAGACCCTGATGCTGGGAAAGACTGAGGGAGGGCTCCGGGAGATGGGGGCAACAGAGGATGAGATGGTTGGATGGCATCAGTGACTCAATGGACATGAGACTGAACAAGCTCCGGGAGATAGTGAAGGACAAGGAAGTGCTGTCCATGGGGGTTGCAAAGAGTGGGACGTGACTTAGCCACTGAATAACAACAACACAGCAGAGAAACCGTTCATGTCTGTGACTTAAGCAGTGATACCTCTTAGCACTTCCATCACTTAATTTCACGTCAGTTACGAGTTTCATGGAAACGGCCATGGCAACATTCTAAAACATTAACAGCCAGCAGGCAAAAATCCTCTGATCCAAAAAGCAATCCCACCAGAAGCTCTTACATGCTGATTTCTGTGTATTGTACAAAGATGATGATATTAATGCAGCACATGAATTTTAATAAACATACTGTCCTCGCGTCAGATTTTACGGAGACAATGTTCCAGTGTGGAAGTGGGGTCGAGCCCAGTGGGCAGATGGCCCTGCCCTGCCAAGGGGACGCACAGGCTCCTCCTCCTTCCCTCCATCCCAGGCATCTGCTGTGAGCCTGACAGTCTGACCCTGGAAGTCTGGTTCCCTTGATTGGTCACCACCCACCCTGTCAGCTGCTTCCAGAAAACTATTCAGATCATAGAGGAACTGAGCCATATGTGGTGCATATAGCGACCCAGTAACTGAGGAGAAATAATCTCCCTTGTCCATGTGCTTTCATTCCCGGAAGGCCGGGCCCCTGGAACCATGCTACCAGGCCTCAGAGGTTCAGCAAAGACCTGTTTATCTGTCGGAAAGAACTTCTGAGCTTTGCTGTCATGGAATTGTTAAATTCTATAGGACTGGGCTGGGCTTCCCTGGTAGCTTGGACAGTAAAGAATCTGTCTGCAATACAGGAGACCCAGGTTCGATCCCTGGGTTGGGAAGATCCCCTGGAGAAGGGAATGGCAACCCACTCCAGTGAATGGAGAATTCCAAGGACAGAGGAGCCTGGCAGGTTACAGTCCATGGGGTTGCAAAGAGTCGGGTACGACTTGACACTTTCACTCTCACAGGACTGAACAGTCACAAAAATGAACAGTTTAACAGGGCAGAACTGAGTTACACCGCCAGCAGCTTGGTCGTCTCTTCCCGGCAAAGGAAGACAGGAGTTTGGTGCAGCTGAACTCGATGGGAAACAAACACGCACACAGTGGATCTGTTCACCCCGGCGACACCCTCTTGCTGTTACCTCCTCATTAACGTGGAGCCCCAGGCCTCTGGCGTGTTCTCTGTCATCTCGGTGTAAGTGCTGATTATAACCTGGGTCCCTCTTAAAAACACAGTCATACAGGGAAATGATTCCAGTCTGGGAATAAAGAGAGAAAGCAAGCCATGGGTTTATTCAGGGGCTGAGTCGTGCAAGTTTCAGGGGCTTGAAAGGCCTGAACCCTCCCTGATGGAGGGTAGAAGTAACATATAGAGATTCCCCACGGCAACAAACGTGTATCGGGAAGGTCATCGTGTGGGCTGTGACAGGAGGAGGGAGGCCAGGCCCCTGGATCCCAAGAAGCCCCAACGGGCATAGATGTTTCCAGGGGCCCTTTTTCTCCACTTGTTACAGACCCCTTCTTCCCAGAAGAGGCTCCTCACTCTCCCTGACTCCATCCTGGAGTTCAAACCTTAAAATAAAAATAATATGTTTGATATCTGTGTTTTCTCCTTCATTTCTGCTTCTCTTGAATTTCTCAAATTTTCTCTAATAGGCTTGTATGACTTTGAAAAGCGAACAGTCTCTGAATTCTAGGACAATATATCCAAAGAGATGTTCTCCTCCTTCAGAGAGACAGAAATATTTTCTTTAATCATATATAGCAGCTATAAAAACTGTAATTCATATATGTATGAACATAGATATACATATTTGGCATATGTTATATATACATGTAAAATATTCATGTATTTTATACATACAGCAAACATATGTATAAAACACACACACACACAGAGCTCTGATGTGTTAGAAAACGATCCTGTTAACAGAGCTACCATCTGTAACATCTCCATAATTATAATCCCCAATTTTTCTTACTACAAAAATACAACTGCCTCATTTGATATCTAGTAAAAGAAGAAATCCATGTGTTAGCCGACCTCTAATTTCCACCTTGTAAATCAGGCCTGTCATTTATGTTCCTCCAGCCAAGTGCTGACAAAGGTCTATGTAGTCAAAGCTATGGTTTCCAGTAGTCATGTACGGATGTGAGAGTTAGACCATAAAGAGGGCTGAGCACTGAAGAACTGATGCTTTCAAATTGTGGTGCTGGAGAAGACTCCTGAGAGTCCCTTGGAAAGTAAGGAGATCAAACCAGTCAATTCTAAAGGAAATCAATTCTGGATATTCATTGGGAGGACTGATGCTGAAGCTGAAACTCCAATACTTTGTCCACCTGAAGTGAAGAACTGACTCACTGGGAAAGACCCCTGATGCTGGGAAAGATCGAAGGCTGGAGAAGGGGATGACAGAAGATGAGATGGTTAGATAGCATCACCAACTCAATGGACATGAGTTTGAGCAAACCCCAGGAGATAGTGAAAGACAGGGAAGCCTGGTGTGCTGCAGTCCATGGGGTCAGAGTCAGACATGACTTAGTGACTTAATAACTACAAAAAACAACTGCCACCAGCCTTGAATCTTCCAGCAGTGAACACTGACTGGCCATCTCACTGGAATTGGGATCACAGGGTCTGGAACCTGAGCCTGCTTGTTTTTTTGCCCAACTTTCATGCTAGAATGACCCCTTTCAACTGCAGGACACGGAGCTAGAAGGTCACAGTGAAAAGGATGCATGATGTGTGCACCATCTGCTGGAAATCACATCCCGCAGACTCTCAGTGCGGGAACTCAGGGCTTCCAGCAACAGAGGAAATGGCTGGAGCGTGACGTAGCTTCAGCCTAGCCTTGGAAACGCCTTCACACATCATCCATCCTGTGCAGGACATCTGGCTCCTGCTCAGGAAGGTCTGAAGATAACCCAGACATGGCTGCCGTCCTGGTACCACTGCTACGGAGCCCAAACTTGCTCTGCTTGAAGCACAATAGGCCAATGAATCCAAGAGATGGGGTGCTGAGGCAACAAGTTAGCCAGCTGACCTAAGAGATGGCAAATGAATATCTTAAAATAACCATCTCATCAGGGTCTAGATGCCAGGTTCTTTTATAGAACAGACTGGAGGGGGGGCGGCGTTGGGGAGGGAGGTAGCAAAGTAAAAAGGCCATTAATCTTACAACTATCTCCTAGAATGGCAAGCCTCAGGCAGAGGATGTGTTAATTTCTTCCTTCCCGCCGTCCACAGGTGGACAGGGTCTTGAACAAAGGCACTTTTTCTCAACAGTCAGGGAGAAGGGCAGGGCCGTCTGAGGCAGGCCACTATGAATGATTATAATAACAGAAGCAACAGAGAGCAGGTCAACACAGTTCCAAAATGGAGCCATTATTGGCTCTTCCCTGCAACACCATTAACCATCTAGTCAGGAAAACAAGGCTGTCTTTCAGAAACATTATTTTCAGTTTCTTCCAAAATTTCAGAGGCATCATGTAAAAGACACTGAATCAGTGATGCTGGAATGCTGACCTGCGTGCCTTCTGAGTCACTCCAAGTGCTAGAGGGGGAGCTGTGACTGCTCAATCTGTGCCCCAATGGGCATGGAATGAGGTCACCTTGCAGGAGCTTCTTCTTGGCACCTCCTTGTCTCTCCCACTCCGCTGCTGGGTCTGTGCATGTACTTATTTGGTCAGCCCTGACTTTCACCCCTCCTAAAGGCAACCTACAACCTCCTGAAGGCAAGCTTATACTCAGTTCAGTTCAGTCACTCAGTCATATCTGATTCTTTGCAACCCCATGGACTGCAGCATGCCAGGCTTCCCTGTCCATCACCAACTCCCGGAGCTTGCTCAAACTCATGTCCATCGAGTCAGTGATGCCATCCCACCATCTCAGTCTCTGTCCTCCCCTTCTCCTCCTGCCTTCAATCTTCCCCAGCATCAGGGTCTTTTCCAGTGAGTCAATTTTTCACAGCAGGTGGCCAAAGTATTGGAGTTTCAGCTTCAGCATCAGTCCTTCCAATGAACACTGAAATCAGGAATGACTGATTTCCTTTAGGACGGACTGCTTGGATTGCCTTCCAGTCCAAGGGATTCTCAAGACTCTTCTCCAACACGACAGTTCAAAAGCATCAATTCTTCAGCGGTAAGCTTTCTTTATAGTCTAACTCTCACACCCATACATGACCATGTCAAGTGGCATGTAGGATCTTATTTCCCTGACCAGGGACTGAACCCCTGCCCCCTGCTTTGGAAGCACAGAGTCTTAACCACTGGACCACCAGGGAAGTCCGACTTTGTACTCACACAGATAAAAAAGCCAAGGACCCAAATCTATGGAGAGGTGATCCATTATTCAGATTTTGGTACCATGAATATTGGCTAGCTGTTTGGGGGAAAAAGAAGAAACTTAGGTCTTCATATCACACTATAGGCAAAAGTAAACTCAGGATGGATTAGTGAAACAGCTGAAAAGAAAAGCCATAAGGGGCCTCCTAGGCATAAAAGCAAAAGGGGAACTATCACAAAGAGAATACCCATCACTCTGACCATGTAAAATCAGACATTTGCTTATCACATAAAATTCAAACTTTATAAGCCTTTAGGAAATGATAGAGAAACCTCAGTATATTTTTTATAGGCTTTTTATTTTCCCCCCAAAAAAAGCATGGTATGTTGAATCTCTATTCCCCGACCAGGGATTGAACCCACACCCCCCTGCATTAGAAGTATGGAGTCAATCACTGGGCCTCCAGGGAAGCCCCAAATCTCAGTTATCTTTAACACCAATGAGTAAGATGTCCACAGAAGCAGAAGCTGTGGGGTTGGCTGGGTGCTCGCTTCTAGCCTAGAGAGATTAAGGAAATCTTGCAGCATTTTTTTTTTTTTTAATAATCACCAGGCCAGTGGGCCCTGCAGAAATACATCAGAGGCTCAAGGATGCCTGCCACCCACTCTGCTGGGATGGCGGGAGGCAGGTTCTCCAAACAAGCATGCCCGCCTTCTGTAAGGGAGCTACTGCAATGTGGACCATTCCCTTTAGGGTTCAGAGCTCCAGTCCAGCCCCAGCAGAAGCCCAAAGGCAGACACAAACAGTAACTTGAAATTCCGTCACCTCCATTTACACAGTAATACAATCTGGGCTCTTGGTCATAATCTAGATGTCTCATCGTCACTGGAATCCCTCCAGGCCCAGCTGACCCATGAAACGGGTGTGTTTCAGGGAGAACCTACGGTGGCAACAGAATGGCCTGTCTCCCTAGGACCGAGCACCTGCTGGTGGCCATGGGTGCCCCCTTCTGCACCCGGAGAACCTCGGCCAGAGAGGAGGTGACCAGTGGGGATCCTAGGGGCCATCTCCTCTAGGGCTGCGGGTTTTATTATGCCCAGTGCCTCCTTCCAATCTTGGCAGCTCTTCTCCTCCCAGAAGGTACACAAATTCTCACACAAATAGTTGCGGTAAGATTCTGAGCAAACTGAAATGCAAGTCCTTTATTTTCTCCTCCCTTTCAGACCATTCTGAATGTAAATGCACTCTCCATTGAAACTTTAAACCAGATCAGCTCTGCAAAGAAGAAACAACAGAAAGGAAACAAACATATTTTTCCATTGTGGCAAGAGTACTGCTGAGTGCCCACCAAACACCTTTCTTCTTCCAGCACGAACAGAAGACTGCAATTTCCAGTTTCCATCATAATTATCCAGGGCAGGTGGGATACAGCTCTGGCCAGGGGATGAGGGTGAAATCAGTGGACACGACCATCTAGGCCTAGTCCCCAAGAAACTCTCCTGCAGCCCTCCACACTCTCTCACCCTGCTCTTTGTTGTTGTTCGGTCGCTAAGTCATGTCTGACTCTTTGCAACCCCATGGACTGGAGCACGCCAGGCTTCCCTGTCCTTCACCATCTCGCAGAGTTTGCTCAAACTCATGTCCATTCTGTCAGTGATGCTATCCAACCATCTCATCCTCTGTTGTCATCACCTTCTCCTCCTGCCCTCAATGTTTCCCAGCATCAGGGGCTTTTCCAACGAGTCATCTCTTCGTATCAGGTGGACAAAGTATTGGAGGTTCAGCATCAGTCACTCCAATGAATATTCAGGCTTGAGTTTCTTTAGGAGTGACTGGCTTGATCTTCATGCTGTCCAAGGGATTCTCAAGAGTCTTCTCCAGCACCAGTTTGAAAACATCAATTCTCACCTTGCTCAATGGCCAGCAAATTAAAGGATCCAGGGAAGAACTACCAAACCCCAAAGTTTCCTACGCCTTGGCAATAACGGAGCAACTAAAATGGAGAAG